CTTAAATTATTTTCCAAATACAGTCAACTTTTCCTTCCCCCGGCGGCAACCTTTTTAAGAAGGGCCCCCCCACCCCCCCCCCCCCCCCCCTTCTTCCCAACCCCCATAAAAAAAAGACGTGATACCTAGACCTGGTCGCTGCTTTTGTTCAGTGATGTTTTTGAATTCTCTATCAGTAGACAAGAACAGGGCAGAAAATGTTAAACTTATTCATGGCAAGACTACGGGTAGTACCTCATTATTGCAGAAAGCGAAATACTAAGGTGCGTGTCTCTCTCGCGCGCCCCGTTCTTTCCTGCCCCCGTTACTTCTAAGCGCATGCCACGCAGGTTAGCAAAACACACGAACTCGCGTCAAAATTGCTACCCTTGAGAAGGCAACACTCGGATCACGCTTTCTCGGGTCTTTTGTTCGCTCCTCTATCCGTTAGGAAAATAAGACACTCCTCGTAGTCTAATTCATGGCTGGGACAGATAAAAAGCGGTTTTAACAGTCAAATTTAAACGTGCATGATTGAAAACGTTTGATCATTGCCCTTCAGACTGGACTAAATACTCTAAATACAGTTTTAAAAATCATTCCTCTTCCGTGAGTCAAGTTGATGTTTCACATGAGACAGACGTCCGACCTTAGCCTCTGACAAGGTTGTTTTTATGAAAAACACTATGGGATCGTGGAGAAATCTAGTTAGAATATTAATAAAGGAACCTGGCCTCCGTTTTTCAAAAGCTGGATAGCGCTATCCACCGGATAAATCACTATCCAGTGGATTCAAAAATATTAGGGAAACCTATTGCGCTTTTGCTCTGTCTAGTGGAAAGAGATTTATCCGGTTGATAGCGCTATCCTCCTTTTGAAAAACTGAGACCAGTTCTTTTAATGAAGTCCAGAAAGAGAATACTCAGCCTACTCTTCGATTATCAAGGTATTGCCATTTTATAGGCAATGCATTCCAAGAATACTGTATTGTGAAATATTTATGGTCGTGTGAAAAATTAAAGGTGACGTAAAATTTGATGAAAATTTGTTTCGTTACTTGTCTCATACCGCAAGTCTTAGGTTCCCCGGTCAGCGGCGCGTACTGCTGAAGATGTAATGATGATGTGATGTCCTTTATCCTATTTTTATTCACCTGTTGGATTGTACTTTGAAGATCATTTTTACAATAGCCTAGTCCTGTGGTATATCACCGAGAAATAGGTCGAGCATGTTCTCATGTCATTCTCTGTTGTAGCTACCACCACTACATCGTGAGGTATAAAATGAGATTCTGGAATTGCCTGAAGTGTGGTAGGGAGGAGAGCAATACTAAGTGCTGCTCTTGCGGTACCTTCAAGAGAGGAGATTATTCTCCGTTGACACCCTGCGCGTCGAGATAACCCTGCGTCTGCGAAATTTCGGAGTTTGTAGAGCTGACACATCCCTTTCTCTGGTCTCGTAGCTTCTTGATCGGTCAAAGCCAGTTTCGGAAGTTTCGGAATGTCTCGGAAGGAAACTTCGGGGGAGCTCGGGAGGATATTGAACGACAGAGACTGGGGCCCACACTAAGTTGGCTTAAAATATGGCGGACAGTCCTCTTCCTAGTTGGCCAATTATAATCAACAAATCTTTGGAAGAAAGTGAGATTTACAGACTTCTGAGGAGCAAACATAAAGTTAGAGGTATCAGTGAATCTTCATAAAAATTTTTGCTATTATTTTCGCCGACGGGTTTAAAAATTTAGTTGCTCTCTTTTTCCTTTTTGTCCCACACATTCCCCAAAATATCGTGTTCAAAAATAACTTCACAAAACAATCCAACTTTTCTTTCCCCCGGGGGCCCCCTTTTTAAGAAGGACACCCCCACCCCCCCCCCCCCCCACCCCTTCTTCCCAACCCCCATAAAAAAAGAGACGTGATACCTAGACCTGGTCGCTGCTTTTGTTCAGTGATGTTTTTGAATTCTCTATCAGTAGACAAGAACAGGGCAGAAAATGTTAATCTTATTCATGGCAAGACTACGGGTAGTACCTCATTATTGCAGAAAGCGAAATACTAAGGTGCGTGTCTCCCTCGCGCGCCCCGTTCTTTCCTGCCCCCGTTACTTCTAAGCGCATGCCACGCAGGCTAGCAAAACACACGAACGCGCGTCAAAATTGCTATCCTTGAGAAGGCAACACTCGGAGCACGCTTTCTCGGGTCTTTTGTTCGCTCCTCTATCCGTTAGGAAAATAAGACACTCCTCGTAGTCTAATTCATGGCTGGGACAGATAAAAAGCGGCTTTAACAGTCAAATTTAAACGTGCATGATTGAAAACATTTGATCATTGCCCTTCAGACTGGACTAAATACTCTAAATACAGTTTTAAAAAATCCTTCCCCTTCCGTGAGTCAAGTTAATGTTTCACATGAGACAGACGTCCGACCAATGCCTCTGACAAGGTTGTTTTTATGAAAAACACCATGGGATCGTGGGAGTTAGAATATTAATAAACGAACCTGGCCCCAGTTGTTCAAACTCTGGATAGCGCTATCCACCGGATAAATCACTATCCAGTGGATTCAAAAATATAAGGGAAACCTATTGCGTTTTTGCACTGTCTAGTGGAAAGAGATTTATCCGGTTGATAACGCTATCCTCATTTTGAACAACTGAGGCCAGTTCTTTTAATTACGCCTAGAAGGAGAATACTCAGCCTACTCTTCGATTATCAAGGTATTGCCATTTTATAGGCAATGCATTCCAACAATACTGTATTGTGAAATATTTATGGTCGTGTGAAAAATTAAAGGTGACGTAAAATTTGATGAAAATTTGTTTCTTTACTTGTCTCATACCCTGCAAGTCTTAGGTTCCCCGGTCAGCGGCGCGTACTGCTGAAGATGTCATGATGATGTGATGTCCTTTATCCTATTTTTATTCACCTGTTGGATTGTAATTTAAAGATCATGATTTCAATAACCTAGTCCTGTGGTCTATCGCCGAGAAACAGGTCGAGCATAATGTTCTCATGTCATTCTCCGTTGTAGCTACCACCACTACATCAGGGGCACCCAACGAGGATATAGTTCAAAACCACTTAACATAGCATTGTTGAACGTATTTTAGTATTCAAACGGTAGATACAGGCATATTTTTATCCCCTAAAAACTTTTCATCTGTTCGGATTTCCTAGCTGAAAGTCTAGTGATACGAAAATTATAGGGATAAAAACTTACCTTTTCGAAAATTTCAGCCAGGAAAAGGCTCCCGAAAATTCTAGGTGGCCTTTTTTAGGGTCAAAATCGGTTAAAAATGAGTAATTATACCATTTTGTAGATGTTCGAAAATCCTAGGAGAGGCAGGCAAGCAAGAAATTTTACAACAAATGCTCCGAAAATTCTAGATCTCAAATCGTCTTCCGAACAGATATTTTCCCGAAAATTGCCGTTGGGTGCCCCTGACTACATCGTGAAGTACAAAATGAGATTCTGGAATTGCCTGAAGTGTGGTAGGGAGGAGAGCAATACTAAGTGCTGCTCTCGCGGTACCTTCAAGAGAGGAGATTATTCTCCGTTGACACCCTGCGCGTCGAGATAACCCTGCGTCTGCGAAATTTCGGAGTTTGTAGAGCTGACACATCCCTTTCTCTGCCTCGTACCCAGACGTCTCTCTTTTGATGAAATTGTGCGCGCAAAGGAAGGCGGGAAAGAGACAAGTCAGACAACGGCGTCTGTACCCTTCCCATGGTCCCTTGCGGTTCATCACCAGTCACTCGTTTCGCGCTCGCCTCTGCCATGCGAAAAACGAAGCGCCTGAGGAGGAGGCTGTCCCTTTCTCTGGTCTCGTAGCTTCTTGATCGGTCAAAGCCAGTTTCGGAAGTATCGGAATGTCTCGGAAGGAAACTTCGGGGGAGCTCGGGAGGATATTGAACGACAGAGACTGGGGCCCACACTAAGTTGGCTTAAAATATGGCGGACAGTTCTCTTCCTAGTTGGCCAATTATAATCAACAAATCTTTGGAAGAAAGTGAGATTTACAGACTTCTGAGGAGCAAACATAAAGTTAGAGGTATCAGTGAATCTTCATAAAAATTTTTGCTATTATTTTCGCCGTATCTGAATCAGAATTTGTTCTTACAGTTACTGACACAACTGGTCAAGGAGTTATAATTTTCCCTCTTTCCTCTGTCGCATTTATGGTCATTTCCTTGGACCATGCGTTGAAAGAAAACGAGGGACAAACAGTAGTTAGTGCGGACATTGTAGAAAGGTAAGTTAAAGATCGTTCTGAGGGAAGGCGATAAACATTTGGAGAGAGATAATTTGGCAAAAGAAACATGCATTTGTCAGTTACCCTGTGCCAACTACAACAACAATAACAATTTTAGCAACGAGCAAGGGGATTTGAAAAGATTTCAATTTGGTGTAAGAGTTGAGTAAATTCAGGTATTGTAGTCCTTTGTGGGACTTGTGGACAAATAAAAACCGATTTAGCCATCCCATCTCTGTAACACCTGTAAGCTTGACAATATCATGCTTTTCTTTTCTCAGGGTGCAGAGACTAAATCAAGTGCATCAAAGAGCTTACGTTATTCTCATGGCTGCTCTTATGGGATCAAAGGAAATGCAAAACCTAACAGCACTACAAAGCAGGTTAAATTAAATGAAATCTGTTTTAATTTTTTTTAATCACAAATCAATTTTTTAAGCTATAATTATTGTGGGGCTTACCCCTCTTTGCATGCAAGTTCCCAGATCTAAGATTATGCTGCTGTAGTGAGGGCAGCAACATATCAGCAACTTCCTGTGCTGTTGACCATGAAATCTAGCTAAATCTTGTCAGCTTCCCCACGTTGGATGAAAAATGACTTAATGGGCAAACCCATGGTCACATGAATCACCAGCTATTATGATTCATACATTTTATACAACTGGGTATTTCTGTCTAGGTTAAGAGTTGCTCTGGCAGTTGGGCTATGTTTGTTAATTGTGCTTATTACTCTGCCAGGTTTCTTGGAACAAAGGCAAATTTCATCCCTGCGCATAGTGCTAAAGAATGTGTTGATTTTATGGTTACTATTGCCAAGGTATGACTGATGCTAAGGAATGAGCCTAAACTTTTCAATAATTCTAGAGTCAAAGGTATTTTCTCATGTAGCCCAGCCTGTGTACAGCTAGCTGCCCCCACTCCTCAGAAAAAAATCGGGAGTGAAGGGGGCAGCTGTACACATCAGGCTATACGGCCTGTGTAGCCTTCATAAAAGGAATTATTTTAGTCAAGCAAAAGGCAAGAGAAGAAAAAGACACATTTTTCCCCATCCCTACTTGCCTTACTTTTACATCTATGTACTGTGTATTTGGCTTTCTAAGGCATGTTGTGTAGAGGTCAATAAAATTTTTTACAAGACAGTATTTTTGTGTTCCTTTTGTTTCAAATGGGAAAACAATAACTTCATTGGTAAATAACTCTTGGTCACCATTAGCAAAAGATGGACCTTTTGGCAGTATTTTTGGATGGCACTGTTTACTTCTGCACTCGGAACATGACATGACATGAAGCTGTTAAGGGGGTGAAGGTCCATAACTGAAAACTGCCCCATGTCATGTTGCATGTGTTACATACCCTCAAAGAACAAATTTCTTGCAGGTTACCTGTAAGCCTATGGCAGGATTGATACAAGAAAGAATGAAGAGGTTACAAGAGTCAACAGTTAGTGACAATGTGATTCTTCATGCCCTTGGAAACATTGGACTTGGCAATCATGGTATCCTTTTTCAGAGGTTTTATCCCCAAAAGCTAAATATGTAAAGTCCCTCATGTTACATCATCTGATGCCACAAAGTATTGAATCTGACACTTGAGGTGGGGGATGCAGGCACTTGACTCTTGCATGTGATTGATAAGGTACCACGTTTACAGGGTATGGGGTTGCTATCTTGATTTCTTATGAGTGGGAAGAAAGACAAAAAAAAAACTGAGAAGAAAGCACTTGCACATGGGTATTAGGCAGGAACCACCCCCCAAAACCATATCACTTCCCGTTACCATCCCCAAGGGGAATTTATTCTCTACCCAGCTATATCTCATCACGAGAACTCTTAAAAACAATCTACCTTGACAATTACATGGAAAATAGGGCACTGGGCAAGTCTGGGAATGCATGTTCATGACTAAATCAAAATAATTATCATTGAGGAAATTATACAGTCATGTTTTCTTTCCTTAACATCTGAAAAGAGTGTTTGGTGCTTCAAGATGGTCTTAAAACTGTATCCAGGGTGTCACAAGCCACAGAGGAGGAACTGATAGACTGTAGTCTAGATCACCAAACTGCACAGAAAGTCATCAACTTCTTTGACAAAGACTGCATACAGATTTGAGATTAATGACCTCGAGTCTTTATTTCACTCTTAAATTTGGATATTTTCCACTTTAGAAAGGAGAAGTAACCTGGGCGAAGTTAACTTTTGTAAAGACTTCTAGGACAGTGGCCGGGGACAGGAAAAAAAATTGGCCAATGCCAGAGGTCTTTGCGAAGTTAACACTGCTTAATTAGTTTCCCTCTTGTTTCTAAAGGTGAATGTTTAAACAGTATCAGTATTCTTTGGTTATAACATTTCTGTTGATTAAGTATGATTTTGATTGTTATTACCACAGAAGAAAGGCATCGGCAGATAAAGGGTGATACTTCTTTCAAAATCCAACTTGCCCCTCATTAGCTATAATTTGAAAATTAGACCAGTTGTCATGTAGAAACTTTTTAAAGTTCTGTAATATATTACTATTATGAAGAGAAAGGGGTTAATAACTGAATCAAAGTGCATGGATGACTTTGCGTGTATAAAGACAGTAATGACTGGTTTATAGAAAGGCATGCTTTGTCCCAAATTCTGTTAAAAGGTTACTATAGGAATCAAAGATCATTATTTGTGAAAACTGTATACACCAATCAACTCTTTACTTAAGAAAACTAACCTCTCAGTGTAGGTGGTAATTTGAAACGGTTATTTTGGGAAGTGATGCTTATAATGCTATGTGAATAGTAATGCTTTCAATTTCAAGATTCAAATGACCTTGAAGAACAAACTGCAATAATAATAATATTGTTTGCATCAGTTACTTACACAAATAATGTTTTTAATGTTCAGAACTTGTAAGTCCTAATATTAAATTAAATTTCCCTTAATTTAAAACACCTAAATGTTACATACGAGGGAAAAATATGTCTTCTGAATTGATAAGACCAATTTTAGATACTGGTAGTGTACAAAAATAATGTGGACTGTGGTTCTCACATGGGAAACATCTTCCCTGCACTGTAGAAACCTTTTATCTGATCTCAAGTCTCCCAGTGGTTTAAAACCAAATATTCAGTTTTGAATATTGTTACCATTATTGCCAGTAAATTAAATAAATACTGTTCATTTGATTATTGTGAAAACCAAGTTAATAAGTCATTAAAGTAGTTTCCATCTCATATAATATGTCACTGCTGTTTTCTTGAATTACTTAGGGTTCCTCGAAAAACTGTTTATACCACAACCTTGTTCTTGTTCCACACAGGACTATCTTGCATTTTATAAACGGCTTTAGCCTCAATCTTTGATCATCAAGAAAAAGACAAACGGAGCTCTGATCACGGGCTGTGAAAATAAAATGTATACAAATCTACAGCAATGTAGATGTAGCTGAAATCCCAAGACATGAATGGATATTTTGCTGCATAATGCCACTCAGTGTTATCTTCGTTTAGAATTCTGCAAAAGAAAAGGTACAACACATTTGATTCAAAACTGATCCCAGTAAAAACACACCTGTCAAATACAGAGTACACTTTTTCTTCATACAAAAATAAAAGTAAAATAGGCCATTTGCATGATGCTGTCATTTCACCACTACCAGAATCCATTTCGTTTTTCCTTTCATATTTAAATTTGGTAATCCCAGCAAGGTTTAAAACAACAAAAGCCCTAATTTGCACAAAAAAGCAAAACACTGAAGCATTCTGGTTATCTGTAGTGAAACGATGGCATCGTGCATACGGCCTTTTGAGGAACAGCCCTTCCCCAATCTGTCGGCCCTCTGCCATCATGTAATCTTTTACTCTCAGAATACAGCAAAACATTACCATGAAGAACTCCTGTATCACAGGGCCCTGATGTGATACACTCCAAGGTACTTTGTTCTAACATTGTTAGGGCATTACAGTTCTAATAAAAGAGGATGGTCACAACCATAATGCTTCTAAAAGGAAACGTATGCTTTACGATCCTGTAATAAAAAACTGTACCTGCCAAATTAAAGAACAACTTTTGACTGCAACTGTTTGTGCCACAATGGTTCCAATTTATTTAGGTTTGTGTTTAAATTAGTTTTGCACAAGAACAAAAATCTTGCTTAACATAGTGTCACTGCTGGTACATGTAAAGGCTATAGTATAACACAGACAGTGTAACTGTAGCTGCACACACACAAATGTTTAAATAACACTCACCTTCCTCTGCCGAAAGTAGTAGAAGATGATGTTAACAATAAATGGCCAGAGAATGAGAAAAAGCAGAGGTTTTGATGGGATAAATGCTTTCCACCAAGGTTGTTCACTTGTAGGAGATGCATCCTGGTGATTGCAAAGAAAGATTGCTTAGGTTAACATTTACCTTTTAGCTTAGTCTTACATTTTTAACCCTAAAATCAAAATGCACATTCTCCACACTGCTTTCCCAAAAATAAATTTCTTAACGTGTTCATCTAGAGAATTTGTTTAACAATCAAAGTATTTTTAACTTTGGTGACCATTTAGCCCCCTGTTATAATTTTTGCAACCTTTACGTTTAAGGCAGTGATATAACAGAGAGAGATTAGATACTGGTCATAGACAGAGGTTAAATGGCAAAGCACTTCTTGCTATATCTCACTGCTGCCTCTAGAATGGCTAGTAAACAAGTGGCCATGAAGTAAATACTTGGTAGGCTGGTGCAAGGTCTGGAATCAAAACTTTTGAAAGGGGTCTGGAACAGCTGAAAATTCAAAAGTCGTGTGGATGATCCTAGAATCAAAATGGCTCCCAAGAAACCTGTATGCATACAAGTATTCTGCCAGTCAATTTTACTCATTTTCACTGTCTCATAAACATGCAATGGAACTCTGTGTATTTCTTGCAAATTACAGTAAAACCTTGTTAATGCAACCACTCAAGGACCAGGGAAATCAGGTCATATTAATGAGGTTTCCAGGAGAAAAAATTACGGTTTTCTGGTGTAAAGTATGTGATCATAATAACGAGGTTGTGGTATAAACAGTGTTCACACTGTGGATTTTCAAAAAAAGTGTTAGAAAACATGTAGACCAAACAAGAACCAACCTGCCGTGCAATCACTGCTTCCTCCATTGAACTGAGGCGCCTCAACACACTTTTCATGTCCTGGTGCAGTCTTTCCAGAGCTTGTAGAATCCTGTCATTAACTTCATCACCTGCTGAGTCATAATCTGGTCCACTTGTATGATCACTTGTGAAGTCATCATCCTCACTGTCACTATCACCTCGCCGTCTGTGCCCTCTTGGAAATCGACTTGCTCTCAATTCTTGACTGGAACCTTGCATAATCATAATAACAATAGCTTTATCACTTTCCAAGTCTGGCTTTTCAATGATCTAATGTTAATTTAATGAAAGCCGCACCTAAGTCCTTAAACATCACAATGTTCTCTAACTGTTAGCCATTCAGGTATACTATAGACTCAAATTGTTACTAAGACCTTAACATTGTAAATAACAACTAAGATGCTTCTTCAATGTTAAAATAGTTGTTAACTAGGTTGGCTTTTTGGATAATGAGGTGTGGTTTGGTAATAACAGTACATGACAAAGTTTCAAATTTCAATATTCATATCATTGGAGCCAAGACTGTTGGCATTACTTGGACTCTCCTCATTAGACCAACATTGACTTGAAAAGAAAAGTTGTTTTGACCAATCTGATCTTATACCGAAATTTTAAGTGGCCTCAGTCCACTTTCATCAGAGACTAACTCAGAGATTGTTAGTAAAATTTAGGTAGACGGTCAGGCTTTCCTTTTAAAAATGTCTACTACTGATCGCAATACTGGCTCATGTATCAACACATTAATTTTCGTAGTGGTATTTCTACCTTCCTTGCTTCTAGTCCCCTGAGTTTGCCACGTCCGACTGGCATGATTCCGCCCAGATGGGTGCTGTGAGGTGTCGCCCCCACCGCATTCTCTCACAGGATGATGTGACTTCAGTATGCCCGATGGCTTTTGTGATCCTTCAGAGCTAATAAGTCCAGGTAAATCAAATTCAGTCACAGCTACGTCAGCCTGACTAGCTTGTCCATTTTCAACAGTTGAAGTTATTTCAGAACAGCTTTCCTCTCTGACAGTGGACACAACCTGAGACAAGTCTGAACTGACAACAACAGGTCTATCTGAGTCACTGCTCTCCACAGCAAAAGTGACATGCTTTGAATATGGAGTGCTTGTAAGTAGCTGTGAGCCCTGCACATTGTTTTCCAGATCAGAATTTTCAGATAATTCTGTCAATGTTGAGTTTGTAGCATGTTCTGGCGATCCACTGCAATTACTACCATCCACTGAATCAATCTTTTGTTCAAGAGTGTCATCCAGATTTAGATGTTGGTCTTCAACATTATTTCCATTTTGCAATTCATGCAGATGTTCTGGGCCGATGGAGTCACAAAATTCATCTTCACTCTCATCACTTGTTAACACCAAACCATTTTT